GAGAGAGAGAGAGAGAGAGAGAGAGAGAGAGAGAACTTTCGTGTATATGCATCTAAGGCTGATTTCGAATACATTTCGTGCAAATGTGCAACTTTTTCCGTGTTATTAAAGGGCTGTACAAACAGTAAATAGAAGGTGTTGGTATATTATACTGGATATTATATCACTGTGTGACAATTTTACTTTATCGGACCAGTGAAAAATTTGAAAAAGTCCAGTTTTCGAGGTACTTGTTCAGCGCGAGAGCGCACGCGTCTGGGAGGCGAACGCCCTGTAAAATTTGCCGTTGCGTATAATTGTGTCCGTCTTATTAATGATAAGTCATTGTAGCCAGTCAGAATTATACTCTACCCGTGCCGGAGCAAAAGAAGACAAGAAACAAACACTCGAAAGAGAGAAACACAAGTGTATATTTACGTTAATGTTTTCCGTGTTTATATGCATTTGTTTCAATGCATATAGCAGTAATCATATTCATGGTACATATTGGTGGGCCTATAAAACGACTCTGTGTCAGTTTGTCTTTCTCGTACTATTTTACTTTAGAGAGAAATACGAGCGCTTCATCCATAATGTTTCTGCATGGTCACGGTTTATTTATTTTATGTATTTGTCTTACGTACATGGATCTTTATATTTTATATCTCTTATGTTGTTACGTACATCCCTCCACGTGTAGAAGCATTTTAAACACAGGTATCTTTTTTCAGTCTTTTTTCCATTCGATTATTTTATGTTGTGTAATACGGTAGTATCACATTTTCTTTATTACAACTATATTAAGAAAAATAATGCGTGTATGTACATTTAATAATCTATACACACATACACAATTGTTTATACATATATATCTTTACGCTATGTATGTGTGCGTATTTGTTCCTTTTTCAACGATATTAATATGTATTACAGGTTATAGCTACTCTTGTTGTAATAAGCTACAGTACACCTATATTTATCGCAGTGATATTGCCAATAGGCGCGCTTTATTATTTCATTCAACGTTTTTACGTTGCAACATCGCGCCAATTGAAAAGACTAGAGTCCGTATCAAGGTCTCCTATATATTCGCATTTTAGTGAATCAGTGACCGGTAGGTCTATGCTTGCTCCGCAATATTACTTACTCATATTGAAAGGAATATATAAAAGTAATGCCTTTAATATTAATTATCCAGGTGCACCGATAATTCGAGCGTACGGTGTACAGGAACAGTTTATCCACGAATCTGAAAGTAGAGTAGACATTAATCAAGTGTGTTACTATCCTAGCATTATTGCAAACAGGTAAATATATACGTTCTCATGTGCGTATTTGCATATATATATTCTATGTATAACATATCATTAACTGAAATGGATCTGTCTCAGATGGCTGGCCGTGAGACTGGAAATGGTTGGAAACTTAATAATATTCTTCGCGGCGTTGTTCGCCGTTTTAGGTAGAAATTCGCCGGACATGAGTGCAGGAATCGTTGGCCTCTCAGTTAGCTATGCCTTACAAGTAAGATATCGCGATTACCAATATAAAATATTTCATCAGGAATTATTTCTTTTTCTGAAGACGTATTCTATTATTTATCCGCAAAACAAATACGATGGTAGTTTTTATTCAATTTATATATATATAGAGAGAGAGAGAGAGAGAGAAAGAGAGAGAGAGAGAGAGAGAGAGAGAGAGAGAGAGTTGGGTAGTAACTAGTTAATCGATAAAAAATTAAGTTAAAAGTTAATAACTTGAATTATATGTCATTTAATATGTAATTAACATATAATAAGGTGTGAGCACAAATTATACACAATTTACGCCTATCACATAGATCACCCAGACTTTGAACTGGCTGGTGCGAATGACATCCGACGTGGAGACCAATATCGTCGCGGTGGAGAGAATAAAAGAATACGGAGAAACTACGCAGGAAGCAGCGTGGAAAAATGCTGAGTACACTCCTCCCACAGAGTGGCCCAACAGCGGACGCGTCGATTTCAAGGACTTTAAGGTCCGCTACCGGGAAGGGCTGGATCTTGTGTTGCACGGCATATCGTTCAGCGTCCTCGGTGGCGAGAAAATCGGTATAGTCGGCAGAACAGGCGCCGGCAAGTCGTCATTGACGCTAGCACTCTTCAGGATAATTGAGGCCGCCGGCGGCGAGATCCTCATCGACAACATCAACATTGCCAAGCTGGGTCTTCATGATCTGCGCTCCAGATTGACCATTATACCGCAGGACCCTGTGCTCTTCTCCGGAACGCTGCGAATGAATCTGGACCCATTCGATGATCATTCCGACGATGAAATCTGGAGGGCGTTGGAGCACGCGCATCTGAAGTCGTTTGTGAAGAGTACGTCTTTCCCTCGACGGATTATTCCGTTGAGAGACCTCTTCTAACTCGTCTTTGGTGTTGTGTTTCAGATCTGCCAAGTGGTCTTCTGCACGAGGTGTCCGAGGGTGGAGAGAACTTGAGCGTAGGCCAACGACAATTGGTCTGCTTGGGGAGAGCGTTGCTGAGAAAAACGAAGGTTCTGATATTGGACGAAGCCACGGCCGCGGTCGATCTGGAAACGGACGATTTGATCCAAACCACCATCCGCCACGAATTCAAGGATTGTACAGTACTCACGATAGCCCATAGACTCAACACTATTTTAGATTCGGACAAGTACGTATAGTCCAAACTAACACTTAACGTTATAGATTTGCCCTTTTTTTTTCAACAAGAGCTACGTATACATACATATACAGGATGAGTCACTTAATTTTAAAAGCCTAAATATATAAAAAATAAAACAACATGGAAAGAAATGTTCCGGATACTTTTGTATGTAAAATGTCAGGTGGAATCGATCGCTGTAAGCAAACAAGAAGAACTATAAAATGACTCACTGCATTTTGCAGATGTATCGATGCACTAATATGCAATGATAAATATCAGTGATAGATTTCTCTCATATTATTATGTAGAAATATTGAGATGATGTTATGGAAAAGTGGAAATTTTATGAGATATTTTATATCTTATACTATAAATATACTGAAATATAAAAAATATGAAAGTAAAAAGTAAAATATCTCGAAAAGTATTCACTTTTCGATGGTCTTACTTTCGTACCTTTATGCGTGTAATAAGCAGAGAAATTGAATTTATGTTAAAGAAATTATATGATTCCATTTAAGAAAATGAAGTTGACTTGGAAATAACTTTGAATTATTGACTATATAAAGATAAGGTCAGCAGCTTATACTTCCCTTCAAACCCTACTTTTACCCAGAATATTCTTTTCTATTTTGCTTTATTTTTTATATATTTAGGCTTCTAAAGTTAAGTGATTCACTTTCTGTGTGTGTGTGTGTGTGTATGTTTTGCAACATTATTAAACAGTTATCATCAGATTGCAATTTTTAACAAACAGTTGCAATTTATTTGCGATTGCACAAACGTTTCATTCTTTTGACTCGTGTTATAAACAATAATATCATTTTAGGGTGATCGTGTTGGATAAAGGTTTAATTGTTGAATATGATTCCCCGGATACGCTACTTCGCAATCCAACTAGCTTTTTCTACAGTATGGCTAAAGACGCAGGTCTAGCTGCTTAAGCAGGAGCAATATATTGTAAGATCCGTTTTTCCAATGGCTACATCACCCGAGCGAGCCAACGTCAAAAGAAACAACAAAAAAAAAACATGCAGAAAGCCATAGAACAAACGATGTAGCGTAATGACCTAGATTAATTTGTATAGTCAAATCTTTCTATGCAAAGAAAAAAAAAACAATCGAACATTCGATAATGGACGATGCAAGAAATGCCGATTCGCCGCCGGGAAATTTTACTGGACGGGAGGAATCGCCTTGCCAAGTTGTACCGTCGATTATCGAATCTTCCATATATAGGGCGTCTCATAATGATAGCCTAAGAAGTACGTAACGGTATTCTCGTGCCGAAAAACTCGGATAGCGCGCCATTTTTTAGTTACTCGTCTTTCAGCGAGTGGGATTTAACCCCACTAATTAAAGTGGGTGTGTGAAACGTGCTGCAACTGTTTCTCATCAAACGAATCCCCTTCGATGAGCAATCGGATGGCCCAGAAACGGCGCGCTATCTAAACGTTCGCAAGGGAAAAGTGTGCGTGCGTGCGCGCACACATACACACATTTATAGTAGATTAAGTTTTGTAGCGAGGTCTTTCGTGAGAAATGAGGAGTGCACGATATAGTTCATTTTTGAAACAATGTCAATATCCCCGTACGTACGTCTACATACTTGTTTTAATCGGACATTGGTCGGATAGGTATTACGATAACGTGATATCGCGCTGCGCATCCTATAACGGTATTCTGTATCTTGTAGGACTGTCGACAAAAAAAACGTGCAATCAGTAAAAGTGTTTCCACCCGTTCGAATTATAAAAGAAAGTAAAAAGCAAGATATATTGTACAGATGATTAACAGAAATCAATTGCGACATATTCGTTAATATTTTCATTAACTAAGAGAAACAAAAGGAGAAAGGAAGAACGTTGAGTGGAATAACAGTGCAGTAGCGAGTTCGTATGATACTCTATGCATTAAAAGAAAATTGCAATATTTCTCAATAATTTAAGATAAAACAAATGCGACTGATACGGTACAGAATACCACTCCCAGGTAGACAGAGTGCGAGTGAATCTTACTTCACCTCGGTCTCCCCGTACTCTTGTATTTCCTCCGAAGAGTCTGCCCTTCAAAGTGGTTGCACTAAAAGAGAAGAAACAGTGAACATATAATCATGAAGACGTTCGAGCGAGAATATCGCAGAAAGCGGTTCCTATCTGTTCGTTCACGGAGTAGAAATTTTGCATCTGACAACTTCCGAATTATAAACTGTACCGGTTTTTTAATAGTTCTACTTGTTAAGTATCTCTACTAATAAAAATATATGCGTACAGTGATCGACAAAAGCGCGTCCATTCGAATTTAAAAGAAAAAGCCAAAAATCTACGGAAGTTGTTAATAGCGATTCTACAATTGGAATTTCTTGGCATATTTAGGTCATGGAGCCTTAAAGTGCTATTCGCATATAATTACTGCTGTATGATAACGCAATTATTCGAAATGCATTCGAGGCATTTCTAGATATGGATGCGCACACGGTGCAAACTCTCTTTGAATTGTACATTTACTTAAAAGAACAAAAAGAAATGTATTTTTATTTTTCGTTAATCCACGCGACAATTAGTCGCTGTAATAGTATTATTTATTTTCACCTTACGTCATGCAATATAATCATAAATTCAGCGATATATATATATATATATATACACACACACACACATATATATATATATATACATACATACATATGTATATGTATGTATGTTTTAATTTCGATATTATTTTTTGCGCACTTGCTTTGTCAGAGAAACTAGTACAAGTTAATTTTAAATCAAAATTCGACACCGTTCGCGAGCGATCCTATTCTCACAAGTTATGAAGAAGGTAAATAATGGCATTGCAATAGTGATCTTAGCTCGGTATGCGTCTCGCACGTGCGGCACAATCTCTAGGAAAAAAAAGAGGAAGTAACACATCACATGTCTTACTGTATATAAATACACTCTATCTTATATAAAGTTCTCTTGTATTATCCAAAGTATAGATATATAACGTCTGTGCCTATTTTACAAAAGTGAAAGAAAAAATGAGTAAGAGGGAAATCGCATTTATCGCGAATCGCCATGCCGATCGAAGGTTAGAGATACAAAAGCCGCATATTTCGTTTATTTCTTTTCAACGGTTCGGCCGTTGACACATGAATAAGTTATACGATATTCTATTTGATGTTTGTAACTTTATATATATATATATATATATATATATATATA